AGATAGATAGACAGATAGACAGATAGATGTTATTTTGTGTTCTAATAAATAAGCTTATATAAAACCAAAATTTTAGCGTCCAGTTAAATTTTACAGTTCTTGATTCCAGTTTTGATACAGCAAGAACTACTAGCCTAACAAATATAAAGTTCAAAAATAAATAAACCAAGCAATGTACAAATGCATTATAAACACAATAAAACAAAGATACATATTAAACAATGTTCAGGTACAGAAATTGAATAATCAAATGTAAAATAACCCTGCGAAGTCTTCACCAAAAAAAATTAATAAATAAAAATAAATAAAATAAATAAAAAATAATCTATCTATCTATCTATCTGTTGTCCTTCGATATCATGCACAGGTTGTTTAAATGACTTTTATGGTGCTTTCACCCCCTTTTTTTTGGAGCTTGACAGATGTGGTCCGCAGGAGCTGACGGGGTCTGATCTGGCTGCTCTGGTCTCTGTCACACCGGAAGCTTCTTGCTGTCAATCACGCAGCGGTTTGATATCCTCTCTGTTGGTCTTGATGCTCTGCTCTTTCCAAAATCTCTCTCCTCTCGGCTTCAGCGTGGTTTAGTATTCTCTCAGTGTTTTTTCCCGCATGGTTATGAGCGCTGAGAGATCCTGAGCATCATTCTCATAACCCTCATGAATAAAACTCTCACTCACTCTCAGCTGCCTCTGCTTCAGCACCCAGATCTTACAGAGTAAGACTACCAGAACTGAATATCATACATAAGTAAACAATAGTGTCAATATAATTAAATAGATTTAAAATAATTTATAGTATAGTAGTATGAGGCTACAACCTAAAAAAATGTGACAAAAATAAAGGGATCTTTAAATAAAGGAATTTGATTTATTTATTACTGCGAAATCTTATGTAGTTTTATAAAAATGCCACTAAAATCAAATATATGCAGTATGTATGGCTTTAAATTATTTTATAAGACTACAGCATAACAAAATATGAAGAAATGAATAATGGTCTAAATACTTTCTGAATGGAATTATTTTTCTCAAAATTATCATTTTAGAAATCTTGCATTTCCCCCAACTTTTGGGGGAAGTATGGCCCCTCAGACATTTATGGCAAAAAAGTCAAATATATAATATATATAATAAATTGTATAAATATATAATATATATCAAATATAAAAAGTCATTTTAAGTATTTTAGCATAATGTTACATCATAAAATGTGAATAAAGTGTATAAGGTCTCAGTACTATGTGAATTTATTTATTTATATTTGTATTTATTTTATTTATATTTATTTATATTTTGTTATTTATTTATTTATTTAAATCTTGCATATTTTTGTTCTTGGTTTTGGTAGTCACACAACTCTTCTTTGGGAAATGTGGCATTACAGACATGAAATGTCGAAAATGCCACTAAAATCAAATATTGAATGCCTTTTTGCATAAGGCTGTAAAATAAAAAAAATGAAAGTTTTTTTCTTGGTTTGTTAGGATATTACACATTTTATTGGGGTGGGGGAAATGTGGCTTTTCAGACATTTAAATGGCAAAAATGTCACTAAAATCAAATAAATAAAATAAAGTATTTTAGCATAAGGCTGCAACATAAAATCTGAAGAAATATAGTTCTGAATACTTTGAATAAACAGTATTTGATTTAATTAATTCATTGATTGATTTATAAAAATCGTGCATTGTTTTGTTCATAGTTTGGAGGATGTCACAACTTTTATTGAAGGAAATTTGTCTCTTCAAACATTAAATGCCAAAAATGTTTGGGAAAACCAAAATGCCACAGCCATCTTTTCTGTCGGTAACAATGTTCGTCACTCTCGTTTGTCTACGTGAATGTCCCTCCATTCTCACTTCTCCACAGAAAGCTTATTGTTTTGACGTTCCACGTCTTATTTACCGCATGGAGACGGAAGAGCTGTCAAAATGCGCCCCTGCACAAACATCTCCCACAGCGCGTCTGCTTTTCTGATAACAGACATGACAGCCTAATGGGGGCTTCCCGCGTTCGGAGAGTATTTATTATCAGCCACCAGTCGCCCCGCGCTGCTCTCTCACCCCGGCCTTTCAGTGCTGAGAGTCATTGGAGAGTCATCCATATGACGCCTGCAGATTGCCAGGAAAGACATTTGCCTTGAATTATGGAGAGGGATGCTGTGGTCGGGACCTCCCTTCAGCTCATTTATTCAACATGCACGCTGCCAGAGCCAAACGCCGTTCAGATTTACCGTCTCCGTTCAGCGCAGACGCCTCGTTTGGTGGCTGGAGAAGAAAGCGCGCAGACGTAATGCGCAAAACGCCGTCCAAGCCTGTTAACACGGGCCGTGAGAGGGCCAAGTTCAGAAACGGCGGCTCTGCTAAGCTCTCATTAGTAGTGTGATCGAGGGGGGAGTGTTTTTATCAGTATGTGTTCAGTTCAAAGCGAGCGCTAGTGGTCTGAGGGCGCAGAGGGGGAGAGCTGCACTTTTGTTGATGCCTGATGCTTAGAGTGAGTTCATGCTGCTCAAAAGTAGCAGTAAGAATCACAAATGACCGGAACCGAATGCTTATGTATGCTTATGTGCAAAATAATGTATTGATTTTGATATCGCTTTTTAATCAGACTGAAATCTCTGTGGGAATAAATATTTTGTCTGTGAACGTGGAGGCAAAACTAAATTAAAGGGAGGGTAAGAACAGGTAGAAATAGCTTTTTAACATAACAATTGCACGTTACCACTTGTTACAGTGGGAGGTAAACGCTTAACGTAAAACTTCATATTCAGTTTGATCTTTTAATATCAATGTCTTAATGCAAAAGCCAAGTTAAGTGTTAAAATATCCACTATGATTACGGGGCCATTGTGTTAGAAGTACAGTGTTTATGACAAGTGAAATGTGAGAGAAAATAGATTTTCCATGGTTGTTGTTTTAGAACATTAAGCCACGTTACGAGTTTTTCACGAAGAGGCTGTGTCCCGTACACCAACGACGTTAACCTAAAAAAAGGTTTTAGTCATTTTTCGGTTACTGTTGTAGGTGATGCAATGACGGTTACTGGAATTAAGGTTACAGAAATAATCGCAGATGGAAACCATTATGCATTTATTTTGTTATTGCTCTTTTGTTGTTTTATACACAATAATTTGGTGCAGTTGGTTGTGAAGGTTTAAGTGAGAACTGCCTGTAAAAATGTTTTAAAAGTGTTTTTTTTTTTAGGAAAATCTGTATTGTTAATGCTCTGCAAATCAAATATGTGACCCTGGAGCACAAAACCAGTCATAAGTGTCAATTTTTCGAAATTGAGATTTATACATCAGCTGAATAAATAAGCTTTCCATTGATATATGGTTTGTTAGGATAGGGCAATATTTGGCCAAGATACAACTATTTGAAAATCTGGAATCTGAGGGAGCAAAAAAAATCAAAATATTGAGAAAATCACCTTTAAAGCTGTCCAAATGAAGTTCTTAACAATGCATATTACTAATCAAAAATTAAGTTTTGATATATTTAAAGTAGGAAATTTACAAAATATCTTCATGGAACATGATCTTTACTTAATATCCTAATGATTTTTGGCATAAAAGAAAAATCGATAATTCTGATCCTTACAATGTATTTTTGACTATTGCTACAAATATACCCCAGCGACTTAAGACTGCTTTTGTGCTCCAGGGTCACAAATATGTAAATATGAATTATGTATATATGGTTCTGTTGTTTATTTGTGTTTTTCTCTTTTTTTCCTTATTTGAATATCACTTTAGTTTGCTACTAAAGTTTCACTCTTTTGTTTGCACTTTAGTTTATTTCATCCATTATTGAGGAGGTTCAGATCTTTTTGAGGAATCTTCACTGTGAATAATGAGCAGTTACTAGTGATACAGTGTATCAGATGACTTTGTGTTGTCTTATCTCCTTATTTTCATTATACTCTCTGAAGCGTTGACCTCTGTTTCTTCTGTCTTCCAGATTGTTTGATAACTCCAACGAGGGCTTCAGGAACTGGGAGTTCATGACGGTTCATTGCTGGGGGGAGAGAGCGGAGGGTACGTGGACGCTGGAGATTTCAGACTCGCCGTCTCAGCTGCGTAACCCTGAGGTGTTGGGTAAGGAACGGAGGGATGAGGTTCAGACCAAAATGAGCATCAGACAACATAAGTCAGTGTGCTGTGATGCCAGTCATGTCCAGTCTAAACACAGTATAATCCTAAAATATCTAACTCTATTCCCAAATTTGGAGTCTAATTCTAGTATTGTTTACACACCTGCTTTTTTGCTCAAATATGAAGCTGAATTTGATTGCCCCTTCAGTTTGCTTTCACACTGTTTTATGTTGTTTCGTACGATTGTGCCGCATGTGAAATACTTTCACCCTTCCCAACTTGTTAAAAAAATTGTACTTTTTATTTTATTATTATTATTCTTTTTAATATTTTTATTTGATTATTAATTTATTTGATTATTATTTTCTATTTATTTTTTTATAATTATCTTGAATTAACTAAAATGAATTCTATTTTATTTTATAATATATACTTTTTTATATTGTATTATTTTTATTTGTTTTGCTCTTTTTTATCTATAGTATTTTTATATATTTTTATTTTATTTTAATATTTACTATTTTTTATTTAATTCATAAATATTTTAATTTTATATCTCATTTTTTTTATATATTTTATTTTATTTTGTATTTGTTTTTTTTGTTTTTTTTAAGATTTATTTTTGGCATTTTTGCCTTTATTGTGATAGGACAGATCAGATATGACAGGAAGCGAAGTGGGAAAGAAAGAGGGGGGCGGGTTCGGCGCCGACATTTCTATTGTTTTTAATAGAATTCTATTTTATTTTGTTTAATTTTTAACATTTTCAAGTATTTTTAATTTAATTAATTTATTTTCTTTTATTTTGGAAATCGCTTTGGCTCTCAGGACTACACGTTGTAATTGTAGCTTTACTTTTAGCATTATGTTTGGCACAGAAGGAACCAATAAAACATTTCACATATTACATTGGCTGTGTTCTTAAAGCCTAGTAATATAGCTTGCTTTCTACGCAGGCAGCTGATTTCTAAGTCCGCATCCTAATTAAAGTGAATTCTCATAAGCAGACCTAGATGGATATTTGGAATTATTTGCGTTCATGTACTTCCATCAGGTGTGTTGCTTTCATGAATGAATTACATTTTTGTTTAATGCGAACCTTCTTTGACCCCCCGCTGAAGATTAAAGTCGTCCTGTCCTCTGTTTCGTCAGGATCGATGTGATTCATTGCAATACAAAACAGAACTTTCTTTGTCCCTCCTCATGGCTTGGTCTCCTGCTCTCTCTTCTCTGTCAGGTAAGCTGAAGGAGTGGACACTAATCCTTCACGGCACGGCTGAGCACCCCTACCAATCCCAGGGTTCCCAGCACTCGCGCTCCAGGATGCTGGAGATTCCCACAGCAGGCAAGGAGCTGAAAAACCCAGATTCTGTGCCAGGAGCCCCTGAGCATGAAGAGGAGGAAGAGGAGGAATATAACGGTACTCGCAGTAATGCCTAGACAAGTTCAGAATTGTTTGTTTTTTAATCTTATGCTCACTAAGCCTGCATTTATTTGATCAAAAATGCAGTAAAAACAGTGAAATATTACTACAATTGTACAACTGTTTACTATTTGAATATATATGAAATAGAAATATTTTGTAACTATGCAATTATCTTTACTGTTACTTTTGATCAATTTAATGCATCCATCTAAAAATAAAAATGCTTATTTTATTAAAAACAAAATCAAAACCCCAAACTTTCGAATGGTAGTGTATATATAAAAATTCATTTTAAACTCTTTTAAAATGCAGTTAAATAAGGAAAAACATGCACAAGGGGCAGGTGATGTATCCTGAACATTTTGTTTATTATTGGTCTAAAAAGAAAATTCATGTTAAAAATAAAAGCCAAACAAATATAAGCCTTAAACATTTTTAAATATATAACAGCTTTAAAAAAAATAAAAATAACAGCTTTAAAAAAACATATTTGCTACTGCATTAATACTGGAGCAAAATTGATTGCTTCAAAAAAGATTCAAAAACATTACTTATATTTAATAAATAGTATGATGATATTATTATGCATCATATATAAATATGATGGTACTTGTTGCTTGTTGATAGTGTGAGATTAATAATATCTTTAAGCTGGCAACCATGTAAACGACTGAAACATAAACATACACAAGATATATGTTATTTTTCCGCAAAAACGTGGAAATAATTTCTCTGCTTTAATGTGCTTTTGTCTTTTGTGATTAAATGAAAGATTCCTAGTCCAAAAAAGATCCTTTATGTGAGATTTATTGTTCTAATAAACCTGGCATTGCATACTATGAATATTGTTGAATACTCTCTGGGGACTTGCTTCTTATGTTCCTCATTCGTAAGTCGCTTTGAATAAAAGCATCTGTTAAATGACCGAATGTAATATTATCTACTACATCTGTGGATGAGATTGCTGGAGCTGCTGGTTTGTGACTGTATTTCAGGTCCGTGTCATCCTGAATGTGGAGATCAGGGCTGCGACGGAGCAGACGCCGATCACTGCCTCAACTGCATTCACTTCAGTCTGGGCAGCCTCAAGACCGGCAGGTAAAGACATCACATAGAAAGACAGAAATTATATCCAAAGAGAGTGGAAATCGTAGGATTTGTAGGACATTGTAGGAACGCTCGTAGGATTATTGTAGTTAACTAAAACTAAAACTATAAAAAAAACAAAACATTTTCATTACTTGCAGTAAAATATTTTTGAAATTAAATTAAATTCATTTTGTTTAACTTGATGTACAAAAATAACTAAAACTAAAACTGAAATAATTAATAATAAATTAATACAAACTATATAGACGTATTTAAAAATTGTAAAACTGACAAAAAATTACAATAATAAAAAACAGAAAATATAAAAAACTCATTCAAAATTTGAATAAAAACTATTATAGTATCGAATAATAACACTGTTACCCTCTTAAAATTATTAAATATCTAAACTGCCTATTAAAATGATCTGAACTTACTTAAGTAAATGTACCTAAACTAAATTGGGTAAAATAATAAGATACAATTAGTGTTTTGTTTTTTTTTATAGTTGCCTAAAACTAAAACCGTAAAATACATTTTTGTTAAGTTACTTCAGACAAAATAAACTGAATTAAAATAAAATATTACAAAAACACTGACACTTATATTATTTCAGCTATTTGCCAAGATCATATTTCTTATTTTCATTTAGTTTAACTGGAAAACTAAAACTCAAATAAAAATGTATAAAAACTATAGACATATTTAAAAAAAAAAATTATGTATACAAAAAAGAAAATGTATACAAATAACAGAATTACACAAAAAGTACTTTAAAGGGGTCATGAACTGAGATACCAAAATTCCCTTGATCTTTTCACATAAAGGAGGTCGTTGTATTATAAAAGTAAGAACTCGGTCCTTTGTGCACTTCATTTTACAAACAAGCCACAATTCGACACGGGATTTTCAAAAAGATTGAAACTAACTAAAAGACAATGCTGTGCCGAGTGTATTGGATCCGACAGTATCACAACACACAAGTGTGAGTAACTGCTTTTATTACGTGATCACTATTGCTTTGTCTCTTCTTACAGATCGTTTTATATGTATTTAGATACTTATGTGTTTTTGACCTAAATCACAGCAGCGTCCATCTATGAGGAATGTAGGCTGTCAAACATACACAACTGTTAGCCAATCACAGCAGCGGGCGTTTACTTCTGAGTCTACAATCAGCCACACCTATTCAAACAGAGCTATCTGATGAGGGGGGTCAAAAACAGGACCGAAAATAGCCTATTACTTCTAAATTATGATGTTTTTTGATGTAAAAATCTTAATAACATTATAAGTGGACCTCAGAGAACAGTACAAAATAAAAAACAAAGGCAGTTCATGGCCCCTTTAAAATTCAAATTAAAAATATACAAACTAATCAGAATGAGAATCAGAAAGAGCTTTATTGCCAAGTATGTTTGCGCATACAAGGAATTTGTTTTAGTGTCACTAAAAAGCTTTCCAGTACACGGAGACAACAACAACACACAGACAATAAAAAGTAAGATGAGAATAAAGAAAATACATAAATATAAATATAAATAGACAAAAATAGAAAAATAAAATAAATTGTATGTACAGTTGTGCTGTAGATGATAGAATAGGAATAGAATGAGATGCAGGGATGTACTTGGATGTAGGTGGTAACAAATAAATGTAAGGTTATTGCACATATTCAAAATATTAATAAAAACCTAATGAACAGTAACAGTATGGTGAATTTAGGGTTGTAACGGTATGAGATTTTCACGGTATGATAATCGTCTCAGAAAATATCATGGTTTCACGGTTATCACGGTATATATTAAACAGTAATTCTTATCAGTAACAATGATTCTTAAAGGGGTCATATGATGCGATTTCAATTTTTCCTTTCTCTTTGGAGTGTTACAAGCTCTTGGTGCATAAAGAAGATCTGTAAAGTTGCAAAGACTAAAGTCTCAAATCCAAAGAGATATTCTTTATAAAGGTTAAGAGTCAGCCACGCCTACCTAAAACGGCTCGTTCTAACACGCCCCCACATATCTACCTCACTATGTGGGAAGATTTGCATAACGCCGCCCAAATGTTCACGCAAAGAAAGAAGGCGTAACTTTTATTCTTGCTGTAGTATTGTTGTTGCCGCCGCCATGTCGTGAAGG